AAGCGCTAACATTGGTTTAGTTACTTTAAATAATAAAATGTATTCTGTAGTTAAGATTCATTTATTCTTCTGCTATCTGGCTTATACTCGTTGCTATCAGGCTGTACTGTCGCAGTGAAGGCAGAGACTATTGTTCTGCGATTGATAACAAGAATTGACAGGACTGAAACTTCTTTCCTAGTCTCGTGCTTCTACAAACTCCTAACATCTGGCAGAAACTGGCTTGCTCTTAATGACTGTAATTACCATCAGATACTGCCCAAATGTACTTGTATGAATTTCAGATTTTTTTTTTTCAATTTACACTGACGAGCTTTAGAACCATGAGTGAAATGTTCAAGAATTTTAATTTCATGCGAATGTTGAAACCATGCAAAAAAAATTATGAAAAGTATAGTTTAGGACTGCTTACAAGATAGCAAAAACGAAGATGACCCCTCAGTGAGATAGACAGACACAATTGTTGCAGCAATGAGCTCAAACATAGTAGCATTGGTTTTTGAGCGTGGCACAGGACCAGGCAGTCACTTGACCTACCCCATCCCCTTACTGGGCAAGTTCTCATGGGCGAGCTGGCCTTCCCTGTGGCTTGGTTAGCTGAGAAGGTGGCAGTAGCCAGGTAGGACTTGGCAGAGCGCTCACCTGAAACACAGCAGTCTTCAGGCCAGTGCTTTTAGGAACCCTGTGCCCTGAGGACATAGGTATTAGCAGAGTCCAAATCACAAACCTCCTATGTCACTGAAGGTTTTGTGGCTATTAAACATCGCCTAGCTGTATATACTGTAAGTAATTTATTTATCTGTTTCAGTATGTCTGCCTGATTTTATTTGTATCACTTGTACCTTCCCTTTATTTTGCTTGGTTAATTATCAAAACAAATTAACATGCCTATTCCAGCACACAATCTATTTTGAAATACTATCATTTGCTGCCAGTATTAAGAATGCCAGTCAGACAGAACAGGGACAGAATAGTTCTCTTTGAGCATCTCATTCATGATTCTTGCTAGCCTAGTTTGGTTCATCCACTAAAGAACAGGACATAAACCCATGTGTCTGATCAGGGATTGTATCCGCAGCCGTCCATGGCTAGGCAAGTGAGCAGTGAGGAAGCCAAGACAGCTTTCTGTTCCCTCTTTTCTCAGTTTCTTTTTGTTTTCCCTAGGTGATTTGTGGTGATTCAGACCAGGGAATCCCTAACCTTAGGGAATTCACTACAGGGAGGGATTGTATTGCCCAGCTTGCTTTCTTCTAATAGCCCAGGAGACAACATTCTACCTTTCCTTGACTTTTTGAACTGTTCCATCTTTCCACCCCCACCCCACCCTTTTTTTTCCTTTTGTTTTTCTTTGGTGGTTTAGAGGTTGGTTGGAAATGTCTGCTGGGGACACTTAGTTCACAGAGATTGCTCGGAAAAGAAGATCTACAAAGACACAGAAAAACAATGAAACAAGCTGAGATTTTTAGATTTTGAGGGAAAACCTAGCACAGATATAACTTCTAGAGGAAATTAATGATGTTTTAAAGCTACAAATAGAGTGGTTTGTAAAAATTTTTGAGTAGATACAATTAAAATATAAACAATCTACTCAAATGGTTTTACTGTAATTCAACTAGAAACTGTTAGCTCCTTGCTCTCTTTACCTCCCACAAGTCCCTTTTTGAAATTCATTAGTGCTGTCTTTTCATGCAAAGTTAAAATTGTTAGTATATACATGTTTGGGGCAATTTAAAGGTAAAATGATGCTAATGTTTAATCCTATAACTGTGCACATGCAACTTTAAGTAAAACAGCCACTTTGTTTCTTAGAAAACTTTCTGTTTGAACTTTTGTTGATACACATTATTAAAATTTCTTTGACTTAGAGGCTGAAAATTCCCTTTGTTATTTACTGAAATTTTACTTAGAATTCATCTGTAATTTTTTTCTTCTTCTTATATGTGCTTGGATGAAACCATGGGAATTATGGTTGGGAGAGAATGTTTATAAGGTATTATCTGTGAAGATTCTGGTTCACAAAAATTCCTGTCCCTTTATTCCTCCTGCAGAGCCTCCCAGTTCAGCTGTTTGCTGATCCTTTCAGTAACCCTGTGGTATAGATGCTAATGATGACATTCTCATTTTAAAGATGAGGCATTCAGGGCATGAGAAGTTAAACTTCTTAAAGTCACATAGCTAATCAAGTTGCAGAGTTTGAAGATGAACCTGGTCCTTAGTTTCTTGGCTATACTGCCCCTCATAGCCTGTGTTAGAGGATTCATTTATATTGTTTGTTGTAATTAAGTGCTGTTGAGTTGGTTCTAACTCATAGTAATCCTGTATAGGAGTGCTTCTGAGGAGCCGCTGGTGAATTTGAGCTGCCTACCTTGTAGTTCAAATTGACGTTATGGTTGAGTGCTTAACCTAGAGCACCACACCAGGACTGCTTGGTTCATAGTAAATGTGAAATGAGTAATAAGTAAGCACATGTTATACTTAGTATCAGCATCCTGCTGTGGTGCTGTAGGATAAGTACCATACTGCTAACAACAAGGTCAGTGGTTCAAAGCTACCCACTGGTCCTCAGAAACCCTTTACCTGGTCACTATGAGTCAGAGCTGACTAGAAGATGACGCTTAACAACAAAAACACAAGTTACTACTTTTTCGTGATGCCGAGGAGGCCATCGGCTGCTTCACCGTGAAACTGAACATCTCCTTCCCAGCCACTGGCTGCCAGAAACTCATTGAAGTGGACGATGAACGCAGGCTTTGTAACTTTTAAGAGAAACGAATGGCCACAGAAGTTGCTGCTGAGTCACTGGGTGACGAGTGGAAGAGTTATGTTGTCCACATCAGTGGTGGGAACGACAAGCAGGGTTTTCCCATGAAGCAGGGCGTCTTGACCCATGGCTGTGTCCGTCTGCTTCTGAGTAAGGGACATTCCTGTTATAGACCAAGGAGAACTGGAGAAAGAAAGCACAAATCTGCCCGGGGTTGCATTGTGGATGCGAACTTGAGTGTTCTCAACTTGGTCATTGTATTAAAAAAAAAAAAAAAAAAAAAGGAGAGAAAGATATCCCTGGACTGACCAATACAACTGTGCCTCATGGCCTGGAGTCCAAGGGAGCTAGCAGAATTCACAAACTTTTCAATCTCTCTAAAGAAGATGATGTCCGCCAATATGTTGTGAGAAAGCCACTGAACAAAGAAGGCAAGAAACCCAGGACCAAAGCGCCCAAGATTCAGCGTCTTGTTACTCCACATGTCCTTCAACACAAACATCAGCGTATTGCTCTGAAGAAACTACGCACTAAGAAAAATAAGGAGTAGGCTGCAGAATATGCCAAGCTTTTGACTAAGAGGTTGAAGGAGGCCAAAGAAAAACGTCAGGAACAGATTGCCAAGAGATGGAGGCTGTCCTCGCAGAGAGCTTCTACTTCCAAGTCCGAATCCAGTCAAAAATAAGAGATTTCTATGTGTGACAAATAAATATGCTCATATTAAATCTAAACACACATACACACACATACACAAAAAAAAAAAAAAAAACCACAGTTACTATCAGGGCTGAATTGTGACCATGGCAGGAATCTCAAGCATCCATTCTCAGAATGGTATTTCTCCCTGGTGACATTTTGAATTTTAGTATGGTGTTACCTTCCTCAACTGATGCAGTGTTTCTGTATCCTCTTTAAACACGACTCTTAAAATTGACATTTAACGCCTCTTAAGCCTCGGGTTGACGTAGGGGCAAGAAGAAAGGGTTGTAATGAGGTTAAGACTGAGCAGCCCAGGTTACGCTGCATGAAGCAGCTAGTCTGTGACAGTGCCAGGTGTTGGTTTCCTTTGCCGACCTTGCCGTTGATGATCTTACTGCTTTCTGGTGTCTTCTGTAAGTCTCCTGGCTTGCCCTTCCCTCTGATTTTTCAAATCTGAAAAGGCCAAACAGCTCTTACTGGGGGACAGAAGGAAGGAAGAATAGTAGAATTGAAGCTCTAAGACAGAGTTTTCAATGTTGACATGATCTTCTTGGGCTGTTTTTTTACAGCTTAAAACATTAAAAATTTAAGTAACAACCATCCCATTTTCTCAAAGTTTTTCATTAGTCTGTTCATTTAGTTCTTCTAGAACTTGAATCTCTGACTTGTTCTTTGAATTAGTCGTGTTATTTTGATTCTACAAATGTTCTTGCTTATTCTCATATTATCTGCCCTTTTATTTTCTAACTGAAAGGTATTGAGAAAGCAGAAACCAATCCTGGCCTTCCCTGTCAAGATCAATAAAGTTCCTCTGATTTCCTGGGTTCTTCTTCAGACTTTTACTGATAGCCGCTAGAATCAACTGAGGGAAGAGGGAGGGGGCTGACAGGATGTGAGAGAGGAAGCCACCTTGTGTGCAGGAGGGAGCTGTGCGGATGGAGGACACGGAGGGAGAGCTGGGAGGCAAAAAGATCGTTTGTCCTGGGAACATTGCTTAAGTGGTCTTATTGGGGGGCTGGGAGAAGGTGAAGGGTCTCAAATCCACCAGGTTAAATTCGGAAACATTCAGAGGAGTGTCATTGGCTTTTCTTGAACTGTCTGTCATGAGTGAGCTATTGCAGCACAGATTTCACATTGGCCAACCCAAAATAGAGAGTAGAAGGAGCCAGGAACCCCTTACAACACCTGTAATTTCCATGGGGCAAGATTGTTCCTGAAACTGGAGGCTGGTGGCATAAGACCAGGACTAGCAGATTAATGGTTCATGGTCCTGTTGGAATACAACTCGGGTATGGATTTTTTGAGGTAGATTTGTATAGTTTTTAAATGTTAGCCTTTACATTCAGTTAACCTTTAAGCAATGTAAAAAAGAAATTGCAAAATCCAGTTTTTTTTTCATTAGAAGACATACACACTTACAAATCAAAACAATGTGTTAATTACTTTATTCAACATGCTAACCTTTTATTGTTGGTAAGTTGATCAGACACATCATTCATTATCAGCTCTTTTCATTTTGTTTTCCTTTTTTTCTAATTTTAGTTGCTGATATGTGTTCAAGATGAGTGGGATGGGAGAAAATACCTCTGACCCTTCCAGGGCAGAGACAAGGAAGCGCAAGGAATGTCCTGACCAACTTGGACCCAGGTTAGATTTCTACTGAACAAAAGAATGAGTGTTGTCCATGAATGCTAATGCATGTTTCTTTTGTGTTTTCACATTGATTTTGCTCCCAATTCTAATATTGTGTGTGTTTTTTCTTCCTTAACAGTTAAGCTTTTAAATATTTATATATTTATTTTATATTTTGGGTATGCTTGTCAGTTACAGATTTTATTATTTTTTACATGAAAAAAAATAATGTTTTCTCATGATGACCCATTGACTCTTAAAATTAGTTATCCTACAATCTTGAGGGTTGTTGTTTTTGTTTTGTTTTGTTTTTAAATCTTTTCGGTTAGACCCAGGCCTGAGAACCAGTCCATTCTGGTTCACTCATGGCTTATGAAGTAAACCTGGAACAGATCCAAATTTGTAAAATGTTGATGTATACAGGATTGATAACCAGAATGGGGAAAATTATGGGAGAATGTGCTACTAGAAACTTCATCTCCCTACTAGTAAACAAGGGCAGCATGCATATTGCATGGCAACCAGCTCTCCTAATCGAGCCAAGAACAATAGTGTCCAGCTTAAAGATGGTGGCCAACCATACCACTTTGGATCTATGTTGCTCTCCACTACTCTGGCAGTAATCCAGCCACCACATCAGGATCCAGAAAGGGCTCAGTATGCCACTTCCCTTTCTCCCATTCCAGGGCTTCAGCATATGATTCCTTACCATTCTGGTTGTTATATACAAATTCAGGTCTGTTCCAGTGTTACTGTATCAGATATGACTGAACTGGTTCGAAAACTTGGTTAAATTATAGAACGATACAAATGCAAGAAGATCACATAGCAAAAGGATGTGCTGTTAATTTCAGATTGAGTTTTATTTTTACTTATGTGAAATTTTTTTATAACTGAATAAGACACGATATGTTAAATCCACCTGCTTTTGAGTTTAGGACAAAGATTATGATGCTTCAATGTATAAAACAAATAATTTTAAAGCCAATTAGATCTTACGTATTATGGATCAAAATGTACAACTTGGTATAGCTTCCAAGCTGAATAATTTACCATTCGGGCGGTGTTTCATTTTGCTGTGCATAAGGTCGCTATGGGTCGGTACTGACTCGATGGTATGTAACAACAACATCATCAAACCTACCAGCTGGTCCTTGTAAACCCTACATAGGGCTGCTATGAGTCAGAACTGACTTGATGGCACTTAACAATGCTGGTTATTATTAAAGCATTACCTGTACTAGCAAAAAGTTAGTGCATATCCATGCACTGGAACACTATGTAGCTATGAAAAAAAATTAAGACATTTGTGATGGGTTGATATAGAAAACATAAGAATATTGGAACAGAAAAAAAAGGCAAGATTTAGAAAGCTAGGTGTGTGGATAATTCAAAAAGTTTTCTACTGGGGTTTTACTCTTAGTTTTAGTTCATATATTCACAAGTTTATTCCAGACAAAATGTGTTTTTACTGCCAGTCTTTACAGCCAGTGTATAGCTGCAGAGAAGTTCTCTCAGTTATTAAACTTGTTGGGCTGCCTTCAAAAAGAGGTCCAATGACATCAATAGGCTCCTATGATATTTGTTGGGCCAGTTCATTTGAAGTCAGAGGTCACCTCAGAAGATTATGGCATCTGTTTTGGGGGTACGCCAAAGAGATTATCTTGATAGGTTTTCTCAACGGACACAGGGTGTCCATGGGGGCTTATTAGGAAGAAGTGTGTAAGAAAATTGAAATCTACATTGGTGTGAAAAAATGCCAGGAAAGTTGCACCCAGGAACTTTTTGCATACTTCCAGGGGTTGTAGCAAAGGCTATCCTGTAAGAATTTCACTGGGAAATAGTACCCCATCCATTCTGCGGTCTTGATCTTGCATCCTTAGACTACTTTTTGTTCCCCAAACTTAGCATTTAAAAGGAATATTATTTGAGTTCCTCAAAGATGACAACTCCTGTTTTGACATGGTGTAAGAAGAGTACAGAATTTTTCAGGGAAGAGTTGTTTTTGTTAAGTATTGTCGAGTCAGTTCTGACCATAGCAACCCTGTATAGGATTTCCAAGGAGGCTGGTGAGCTTAAACCATCAAACTTGCAGTTCAAACTGACTTTGCAGTACAGCGCATTAACCCACAGTGCCACACCAGGACACCAGGGAAGAATTAGAGAGGTGGGAATACCGCCTTCATAAGTGTTTAGACCTACACTGGAGGATATGTCGAGAAACAGTGCTTCACATTTTGATATTTTTGTTCATTTTGATATTATGATTCTGTAGCTATACTTTTTGACTTATTACCTAACACATTCCTTTATGTACTCAACAATAGGTAGGATTGCTATTTTATGCCAAATGTCTTATGAAGCACAGCAATCCTGGTCTTGGCCATCTGGTTCAGTGGGAGGTCATTAATCAAAAAAAAGAACAAGAAAGAATCTATAATTTTATTGATTTTACTGTTAGGTGCCATTGAGTTGATTCTAACTCATAGTGACCCTCTGCATAATAGAACGAAACACTACCCAGTCTTGCTCCACCTTCACAATTGTTGTTATGTTTGAGCCCATTGTTGCTGCCAATGTGTCAGTTCATCTCGTTCAGTCTTCTGCTTTTTTGCTGACCCTCTACTTTACGAAGTATGATGTCCTTCTCCAAGGACTGATCCCTCCTGACAGTATGCCCAAAGAAGGAGAGTTTTGCCATTCTGGCTTCTAAGGAGCATTCCGGCTGTACTTCTTCCAGGACAGATTTGTTTATTTTTCTGAAAGTCCATGGCACTTTCAACATTCTCCAACACCATAATTGGAGTCCTGGTGTGGCGCTGTGGGCTAATGCTTCAGACTGCAAAGTCGTTTGAATTTCAGGGTCAGTGGTTTAGTCTCACCAGCTGCTCCCTGGTAACCCTATACAGGGTCACTATGGGTCGGAATCAACTGGACAGCACTTAACAACAACAACACTGATTAAGTTAATGAAATCAATGCATCTATTACTTCCGCAGTCTTCCTTATTTATTGTCTACCTTTCACATTCATACAAAGCCATTGAAAATACCATGGCTTGTGTTAGGCTTAGCTTAGTCTTCAAACTGACATCTTTGTTCTTTAACACTTTTCCCCCCAAGGTCTTTTGCAGCAGATTAATGTAATATAATAACATCTTTTGATTTCTTGACTGCTGCTTGAGTGTTGATTGTGGATCCAAGCAAAATGAAGTCTTTGACAACTTCTGTCTTTTCCCTGCTTATCAAAATGGTATTTATTGGTTCCGTTTTGCATTTGTTTGTTTGTTGTTAAGTGCTGTCGAGTCGATTCCGACCCATAGTGACCCTGTTTAGGATCATTAAAAAACAAGTAACAGTTAACTGGAGATAGAACTGGTGGTGGTGATATGCCGTGGAATCGGTTCTGACTCATAACGACCTTGTTCAGGGTTCCTGAGGCTGTAAATCTGTATGGGAGCAGAAAGCCTCATCTTTCTCCCATGGAGGAGCAGCTGGAAGTTTCGAACTGTTGATCTTGAGGTTAGCAGCCCGATTCGTAACCACTGAGATGAGAACTAGGCAGATAGAAAACAAAGGTTAAAAGAGATACATTTTACTCTTGAGGATTTAGATCTTATAAATTGGTCAATAAGTTACATAAAAACAGTGACTTCTAATGAATGGCCAATAAAATGACCAGCTGAGAGAACAGTAGGGAAGAGGGCTAGGAAAAGTCATCAAGAAAAGATGAGAAGGAGAAAAGGCAAAAAGCCAATATTTAAAAATTCCCTTTCCCCTTCTAGTTGCCAAGCAAAACAATAAGCTTAATAAGTGTTACACTCCTCAAGTCCCTACCATAGCTCCTGTGTTACCTTCAGTACTTTTGGGTAAACCAAAACCTTCTGCATGTCAGGAGGCCGTTAATACCCAGAAGTTTGCCTGAAGAAGGGTTTAGTAAAATGGACCAGTGGGAGGGACTGGTGCCCTAGCTAGGTGGCCACGTCTCTGTTCCCTCTTCCCAGTGTTGCCAGGGATCTTTGTAATCAGACTGCCCTTTTTCTCATTTATTTGTCATGCGTTTTTCTCTGCCACCAGTCCCAGAATAGGAACTAGGTTCTTCCATGTAATCTGGTTGCTCTTCTCTTTTCCTCATACTTAATGAAGTGGAAGCTGGGTTAGTTAATGAAGTAACTCACTGGGTGATCTTGGACACATCTTGTAACCAGTGTAAAGTGGATAGATTGTATTATATCTCAGGTTTATTAGATTATGAAAGTAAATCTAATACTTTAGCAATAAATAGATGGAAGTCTATGAAGAATTTCAAGATTTTAGGAATTTGTGTTGCACAGAAAGAGTTACATCAGAAAACTGTGAAAGTGGATACATTAAACAATTTTCCTTTCGTATTTATTGTATTTTAAATATACTTCAGTAGGCCCTCTACTGTACATGAGAAAATAATTTGCACTATTGTAACTTTTAAGTTTGCTGTTTTATCAAATTCAAATGAGAAGATTTTGCCAATTTAATATGTTTTCCCTTCTATTAACTTTTTTAAACTTTTGTTGAGCTTGGACCCTTTGTTTCTATTTTGCATGCCATTCACCTTGGACAATTAACAAATAGCCTGGATCCATTTCACTGTTGTTTCTAACTGTGCTTCTTTTTCTTTTTCTTTTTTCATATTATCTAAAAATACTCTTTGGTTTGATTGCTCACTTCCCTAGGAAATCTATGACATTATAAAGATTTGTTTGTATAACTCTTTTGTTGATTTTTACTTTTTCATGCTTTTTCAAAAATTACGGAACTTTATTTATTCCTTTTATAGCTAGGTTATTTTTTATTTCTTTTTTTAGTAACCTTAAATAAATTAATTTAAAAAAATAACTTACCTGGGTAATCTCCCTTGCTGTTCTAAGACATTCCTCTGTGCACTCAACAATAGGTAGGAGTCCTATTTAATGTCAAATATCCCAAGAAGCACAGTAGTCCTAGTCCTTACCATCAAGAACCTTCTAGTTCAGTGGGCAGTCATTAAAAAAACTGGAATACATTCAATTAAGAAAAAGAATGTAACGCTTAGGGCAATTGGTTCTTCCCTCAACGTACTTATATGCTTACATAATAAATTTGTTCATTATCGTAGTATTGAAGTCCTTTTGTGGCACTGAAGGTTAAGCACTGGACTGCGAACCACAAGGTCAGCATTTCAAACCCACCACTCGCTCCTCGGAAACCCTATACAGGGTCACTATGAGTGGCAACTTTCTCGACTGTTTTTAGAAACAACACCAATCTTTGTATCAGAGCGTGTTTGAAATGGTTATCTTTTTATCGTAATTGCTCTTTTTCAAATCCAAAATAAAAATGTTTCTTCTTTTCAGCCCCAAAAGGAGCACTGAGAAACGTAATCGTGAACAGGAAAATAAATATATAGAAGAACTTGCAGAGCTCATTTTTGCAAATTTTAATGATATAGACAACTTTAACTTCAAGCCTGACAAATGTGCAATCTTAAAAGAAACTGTGAAGCAAATTCGTCAGATCAAAGAACAGGGTAAGAGGACTGAACTAATATTTTGGATCACTGAGTTGGTTTCTGTTTTTCCATGTGTGAGAAGTCCCTTCAGAGCCCCTTTCATCCATTTCTTAGCTTACATTATTGATGAGGAAATGATGTCACAGTGCAAGATGAATGCAAGTATCACTTGGAGTGGTTTATAAATAGGCTTTATTTAAAATTCAACCTTTCCCTAAAGACAGAGGAGACTAAGGTAAGTCTGGGTAATACAACTTTCATCAAGTAAAACTAAATTAGGGGTCCACTGCTTCACCTCCCCCACCTGAGATTTTGTATTGCTCCCACAGCAAGTGGCTGCCATCCTTTGCAAGTGAAGACCCAATTGAAGATGGAAACGAAAAATAAGGAAGTGAACCGCCTTCTATTTTAACTAGTCAGCATGTTTGATTAAGTCTGAGGCCTCAACTGACCTCACCACCAGATTAGAATTTCATTTCCTAAATGACAAGAGATTTGATAGACACTAACCTCTAATCAGTATTCTTTTGTGAAGTTGAGACACAGAACATGACAGTTTTCTTCCTGGGCTTTTCTTTGTTTCTGAGATCATCTTCTGCTTCTCTTTGATATTATTGCCTACAGAAAAATGTTAAGAGAATATTTTTTTAGAACACATTTGACTTCATGGTGCCAAAAGAGTCTTTCTTAGGCAAGTATGAACAGTGTCTCTGGTGCTCAGGGCCAATTTGTGCTCTTGAAGTATCTGTAGGCTAGGGAGATTACTTCTTATAATCTGCTTTTCAATGTGTACTTGATTTTATATTTTTTGATGTACTTTTTATATGATATTCAAAAGAGACTCATTTTACAAAAATATTTGTCTCCCTTTATAGGTGTATGACCCTGAATCTTTACATGCATGTGTTTATTATAAAATGTTAGATGCTATTAGCATATTGTCATCATTGCATTGTCTATTTGGGCGTCACTAACCCTGGTGTGGCGTTATTAGATGAGCACTGAACCAGCAACCACAAATTCGGCAGTTCAAACCTACCAGCCACTCTCGGAAATCCTATACAGGGTTACTATGAGTCAGAACTGACTTGATGGGACACAACAAGAAGTTTTCAAAAACGTTTTGATCTCAATTTCGACATTTTCTCATTTTCTGATGTCAGCAAATGGGTAGAATATTCCTAGAACTCTTAGGAGAAATAACTAAGTCAAGTTTTCCAGTACTTTGATATCACCACGTTTCTCTATCAATCGAGTTGAGAAATCTTTCAGTGTATAACTTAAGTTTCCAAAGATTTTGAATGATGCAAGTCTGTGAACATTGCATGCTATGAGATACCTTGCACTTTAAAATAATTATATATGTTTTTACCACTCTCACACAAGTTTTTATATTTTGCAAAACCTTGGCAATTCCCCTTTCAAGCTGTAAAACATGTTAGGATGTGTCATCCTGGGACTGGGCCATACCTTAACTATAGTTTTAATCATAAGTCTACATACCACAACCACCCAAGAAGTAACAAAACACTGATCACATCTTATTCTTACAATGATGTTACTACAAATTTGAGAAGCAACATGTTTTGAAAAGGGCAAAAGTTAAATACCCCCCAAAAAAAAAAAACACAAGTACAAGTTTTCAACTGATGTAAAATTTTAAGAATATTGCTTATTTAATGTTTGTTTTTTTTTTCAAGAGCTTGGCTTTTAGAATTACACATAGTTTAAGTATGAATTCTAGTTCTTCCACTTTGGTGTAAGAGCTTCTTGACTTTAAAACATGATTTTTTTTGAGGCTCAGTTTCCTTTTCTAGGGTTTAATAATAACACCTATGTTCATGTAACCTATGTTGTATCAAGAAATTGTGAGCTAGGTAAACATACCCAGCAAGTAAATGGTTCAGTAGATGTGGATTTTCTTCCCCATATTAAGAAGAAAGATTTTTTTTTTTCCTTTTGCAATATGCTAAGATTTTCTGACTGTGAGCTCTTCTTTCAGACAGAACATGGGATAAAAAGATAGCAGGTGGTTATTAATATTCTCTACAGGTCATTCTAAGAAAGTAAAATTTTTGGTAGTACCAAGGAACTCTGCCCATTCCACTAGTGTGAGCTATTTTAAGTTTTTTTTATTGTGCATTTAGTGATAGTTTAAATGGGAGAACATCAGCTTTACACTCATTGTTTCCAAGCCACTTTTTCTTCTCTCAGAAGCTCATGCCAGGAAGGTTAAAGAACAGGTTTGAGCCCTTCTTTCTTGCTCTCTGTCCTTGTCCTAAGCAACTCCTACCCTCCACCCCACCCCCCACAGCTTATATCTTTACTATTTGGCATAAATACTCATCTATCATGACTATCTAAGGAACTCTAGTAGCGTAGTGGTTACAAATCAGATTGCTGACCTCAGGGTCATTGGTTCGAAACTATCAGCTGTTCCGCTGGAGAAAGATGAGGCTTTCTGCTCCCGTAAAGATTTTTAGCCTCGGAAACCCTGTACAAGGTCATTATAAATCAGAACTGACTCCACAGCATATAACTACCACCACCATCATTACTATGTAAACTTAATTTCAGTCACAGTTGTCAGCCTGAATAAAATGAGGGAGCTCAGGAGAAATGCCTATCCTAGAGAAGTTAAATAGTATTGTAGGAGGGAGGTCCCAACTATAGCATACAGATGTGGGAAACCTGAATTTCTCTTTCAAGAGCCCTTGTGTAACATGGTGGTTATGTGTTGGGCTGTTAGCTGCAAGGTCAGCAGTTTGAATCCACCAGTTACTCCATGGGAGAAAGTTGAGGCTTTCTGCACCCTAATGCTTTACAGCTTCAAATGCCCTATTGTTGTTGTTAAATGCCATCGAGTTGGTTCCAACTCAGAGGAACCCTGTATAGAGTTTCCAAGGAGCACCTGGTGGATTTGAACTGCCAACCTTGTGGATGACGGTCTACAAGAATCCATTCATACCACATAAGTGGGTTGTTGTTGTTGTTGTCAGGTGCCATCGAGTCGGAACCGACTCATAGCAACCCCATGCACAGCAGAACGAAACAATGTCCGATCCTGGGCCAACCTCACTACCGCCGCCACACTTGAGTCCATCAATGATGCCACCTGGCCAATCCATCTCATTAGGGGTCTTCCTCTTTTTCTCTGACCCTCCACCTTACCCAGCATGACATTCTTCTCCAGCGACTATTTCCTCCGGACAATATGTCCAAAGTATGAGAGACGAAGCTTAGCCATCCCGGCCTCCAAGGAGCACTCTGGCTGCACTTCTTCCAAAACAGATCTATTGGTTCTTTTGGCAGTCCATGGCACTTTCAGTATTCTCCTCCAACACCACAACTCAAAGGCATCAATTCTTCTACGATCTTCCTTATTCACTGTCCAGCTTTCGCATCCATATGAGGTTATTGAAAACACCATGGCTTGGGTCAGGCGCACCTTAGTCCTCAAGCTGACATCTCTGCTCTTCAATACCTTAAATAAAAAGTTCCTGTGCATCAGATTTGCCCAATGCAATACGTTGTCTGATCTCTTGACTGCTGCTTCCGCGAGTGTTGATAGTTGATCCAAGAAGAATGAAGTCCTTGACAACTTCAATCTTTTCTCCATTGATAAGAATGTTTATTGGTCCAGTGATGAGGATTTTTGTTTTCTTGACATTGAACATAAGTGGGTAAGCACTACAAATTAGGGCTTGACCACTGATTGTCATTCCCGACTTAACCAAGTGTTGGGAAAATGTTAATAAATGGAATCTAAGTAGCTGTTGGACCGGCTTTTGAGGTGAGACTTCCAGGTACTATTGTTCCTTGTTACAGAAGCCTTAGAGTGACTGCAGTCATCGCACTGGAAAGCATAGGCTAGCTAGCTCAGGGTTTCTCGTGAAGACTCTCATACTCATCTCATGACTGCTGGTCAAATAGCAGAAACCCTTGATTGTTTAGACAGTGACTGGGACAAGAATAATGACAGCTTCAAAAGCAAACAAACCTACATATATAGTTAGAACTTCAATTGCCAACTTTGTTCTTACCCTACTTATCTTCTTTTTAAAGGTGCTGATAATAATTGGATGACCAAAGACAGCCAGTCAGATATAAATATGGGCAAGCAGTGTAGACTGTGTAAGAGATCAGTACAAACCCAGTTGGCAGCATATAGTAGTCAGTATAATAGCTCATTAAGATCATGGCCTTTATTTAGAATCAGGTAACTCCAATATTTGGAGTCATCAGCTATGTGACCATGTGTAAGTAAGTTAACAACTCTTACTCCTTATTTCCTAATCTTTAAAAGTCCCTCATATCCTAATCTGTCAAAATAATAAGTTTGTAAGGTTCTTGTGGAAGATTTTATTGAATAATGTATATAAAGTACTTAGCCTAGCACTTGACACATAAAAATATGTGACAAAATAGTTAACGTTTTAAAGAGAACTAAGGAAGACACCAAGGAGCTCTGGTAGCGTAGTGGTTACAAATCGGGCTGCATACCACAAGGCCAGCAGTTTGAAACTACCAGCTGTTCCATGGGAGAAAGCTGAGGCTTTCTGCTCCCGGAAAGATTTACAGCCTCGGAAACCCTGTACAGGGTCGCTATGTGTTGGAACCGACTCCACAGCACACAACAAGAACAACAAAGACACCAGGCTTGACAACTTTCATTTTACCCTGCGGACCTCAAAGAATCTGGCCCTGTCTTACCCTTGAACATCTAAAGTGGCTATGGTTGTATGCATCTTGTTGTTGTTATATGCCATCGAGTCGGAGAAGAAGCTAAATCTTATTTCCCTGTGTGATGATGTAACTTAGATCAGAAACATACAGGGGGCTCCTAAAAGTTTCAGGAATTTAATCCTATAGTTTCTACACATCGCAACCCTGTATAGGGTTTCCAAGGAGCGGGTGGTGAATTTGAACCGCTAACATTGCCGTTCAAATCAGCCTTGCGGCCCAGCGCATTATCCTGAAGCACTACGCCCGGACTCCAATAGGAAATGTCTTTTCTT